TCTTAACCCAAGGGGAAATAGGTGATGAAATTTGACAATGTTTGATGGAACCAATAATTCTGTTTTATTTCTCTGATGTAATGTGAATTATAAAATGCTATTTCACCCATTGTAACACTTGAAGAATCTGTTGGGTATTCAGGGCTCCAAAACCCTTGAATCTGTATTCTTCCTTTTTAATTAATACATTATTTTTTTGGTTTCCAACTCTACAGGACTGTTTTTGTGTGTTTTCTCAAATTGGCCTGGGCAAACCCAATCAGGGACAGAGGTTCTGTCTTACACTGATGATGGGCTTCACCACTCCCAGTTCTTCTCACATGTACCCAGCCTTCGTATCTCCACCCTGTCCCCCAGCATCCTCTGCACCTTCAGACGCTCCATACGGTTGCTCTCAGGACCGTTCCACTGGATGATGAGCTTGCCCAGGTCCAGCAGGAACACATCGCCTTGGTTGAAACTGCTCCAGCTCATCTCCACCTACAAAGAGAAGTAGAATGGCTGGGGTAAGCTGTGTGTGTCTCTTTGAGCACAGGGCACCTCTTCTGTGTGCAGGACTGAACAGGGGCAGAATCACATGGTGGGGGGGGGGGTAGGATGCATATTACATCAGTGGCATTGGAAAGCAAGAATGCTTTCGCATCTCCCAAAATTCAAGACAGTCCTGCAGGTGAGAGACTCGGGGTAGGGCATTTGGCTAAATCCGTGGCCTTACAAATCAGCTGTATAGTCTGGAGTGAACAAGTATGGTTGCCAACCTCCAGGCCCAGAATTACAGCCGGTTTCCAGACTACAGAGATCCATTTCCCTGGGACAAAAATGGCCACTTTGGAAGAGAAACTCTGTGGCCCTCTAACCTGATGAGATCCCTCCCTTCCCCCCAAACCCCACCCTCCCCCAGGCTCCACCACCAAATCTTCAGGGAGTTTCCCAGCCTGGAGTTGGCCACTTTACCAACAGATTTTGTGAAGACTTAAACCACTTGCCTCTTCCCCCCCCCCACGACCCTTCCGCCTGCGACCCACCTCTGCAGCCACCACATTCTTCTTGCCCTTGACATGCAGCAGCCGCTGCACATTGTATGTGTTGGTTTCCACGTGTTTCATGCCTGAGGCCACTCCCCCTTTCTTATATCTGCAGAAGGAAAGCAGGGCCAGAGTTCACGCGGCAGTGGGCAGCACTAACATGCCAGCAGTCAAGGCTCCCCCAGATCGCCTGACTAGGCCCCAAAGCCTTCGATGTTTAGAGATGCTTTTGTCAGCCAGACAAAAGCCCCCAAATGGCCAAGCTAGCCCTATCCAATGTAGTACCAACTTCAGACATTATTTTGATGACATATTTAATATAATGTACCGTCTATATATCTAATAGCCAAGTTGTCCCCTCCGTGTGGATATCTAAATCCACACATTGGGGGCATTTGGGGGGCAGAGAGATTTTCCTACACACTTGGAGCAGTCCCCAGGTGTGCAGAAAAATCTAAAAAGTTGGAAAAAATATACGGGGGGGGGTATTTAAATCCCGGGAAAAGGGGGGGGACTCAACCCAGGATATGACTATGAGCCAAATAGGGCTAAGCTAAACTATATCTATCTATCTATCTATCTATCTATATAAAAGTACAAATATTTATTAAGGTGTACACGTGTTGAAACTTTCCTGATTAAAAATTGCTTTGTCTAAGATCAGACTGTAAAAGCTTGTCCACTATACATACAAATGATGGGTAAAAACTTTACAACTGAAGACCAAACATGTTTCGGCCCCTAAGGGCCTTCCTCAGCGGTCACTATTATCTATATATTCTAGACACACATTCAAAGACCTGTTACAGAATTCTAGTACACATATAATTACACCAGGTGTTGTTTCCTGAAATTGTTCAAAGAAAAGCAAGGGGGGGGGGAAGAGAAGCGACTTCATTATTTTGTCCAAATTTATAAAAGAAACTATTATTAAATAAAAAATGATTCTATTAAAGAAAGTTACCTTGTCTACTTATAATTGGACTAGTGGTATTAGTGATCTATGGCTATACCTATGGCCCAGTTGTAGGCTATACCTATGGTCTTCAGTTGTAAAGTTTTTATCCATCATTTGTATGTATAGTGGACAAGCTTTTACAGTCTGATCTTAGACAAAGCAATTTTTAATCAGGAAAGTTTTAACACGTGTACACCTTAATAAATATTTGTACTTTTTCATATATGTGTTTCTATTCCCCATCCCATTTCCTCTTTTGTGGGTGCTTGGCTCTGCACCTTGTGGCAGCCATTTTGTAGTGGCACGTGCCAGTGTTCCCTCTAAGCTGAGTTAGTGTGAGCTAGCTCACAGTCTTTTAGCCTCCGGCTCACACCTTTTTGTCTTCGCTCTGGGAAGATGGCTATTGGCAGGCCCGGGCCTCACCACGGGTGCGGGGGGGCCAGGGGAGAAGGCTCACCTGCGGCTGCTTCCTCCTCCTCCTCCACATGGAGATCCTTATCCCCCCCCGAGTATTGTGGGTCCCCGCTTCTTGTTTATCTACTAATAGCCAAGAGGCCCCCTCTGTGCGGATATCTAAATCAGCACATTGGGGGCACTTAGGGGGCAGAGAGATTTTCCTGCACACTTGGGGCAGTCCCCAGGTATGCAGAGAAATCTGAAAAGGTTAAAAAACTATACGGGGGATACTTAAATCCCCCCAAAAGTAAAAAAGCATTCCCTGCGCATGCGTGGCGAACGCCCTGACAACTGTCTCATCACCACCGGGGTGGGGGAGGGCGGGAGAAGGCTTGGCGGTCCGGCGGCTGTGGGCCACTCAGGCCTCACTGCTGCCGCTGGGGGAGGGCGGGAGAAGGCTTGGCAGGCCTGGTGGGCCCACCTGCTCAGTTCACCTGCTGCCACTTCCTCCTCCTGCAGAGCTCTTCCTGCTTCTGCAGGCCGGGAGCTGTGGGGAATACTCCCCCCCCCCACGAGTATTGCGGGTCCCACTTCTTGTGTTTCCTTAATAGGCTGCTCAAAGTAGGGTTGCTAGGTCCCCCCTTAGCCCCCAATGGGGGATGGGGGGTAGGGTGGCCACGATGGCTGTGTATCCAGAGGCCATCACTGTTTAGATGTCAAGACAGCATTCATTTCCTGTAGGAAACACATGAAGCACGAATGGTAGAACACGTGTTTCTGTACATGCACCAGGGAGTCACAGCTCAAGGGCTTCCTGGTGTGTTTCTCTGAGTGTTTCCAGTGCACAATTGCTACATAAAAATGTGAGATGGTTCTTGGAAGAAAAACATGATTTTGCTCAGATCAGTAAGTAGAATGTAAATTACATGAAGGCCTTCCTTACATGAGTCCATTTCTGAAGTAGCCCCGGAAGACTTCGCTCTCATAGCCTTGGACCTCCCGATGCTGTACTGCTACCCCACCCAGGTGGTCGTCCATCTGGGTACTGTAGATTGCAGCTGCACCCTGCTCATCCTGAGATGACGAGTTGCCCAGCCAGTAGTGGATGTCATAGGAGAAGCTGCTCCCAGTCTTATGCGTCTGTGTTGGAAAAAGAGGACACTTAGCAGGCCAGATCCATGTAGTATGTCCCCAGTACTCCAGACGTATCCCTGCCCTACTGTGCTCAGTAAAGGTATGGCTACTTGACTGATTTCCCCATACAGCTAGCCTGGTCACCATCACCCATTATTATCCACTCAAAGAATACATCTGCTCTAATTCTCCAATTCCACCTAAAAGGATCCATTTCCTTGTGCATAGTTAAAATCAGCATCAGCTGCCCTAGAAGTCTCAGGTATTTGATCTTGGCTGAAAATAAAGGCAATCCAACTGCCTAATTCATTTCACAATCCAAAAAGCAGGGGGGAGATTAAGAAAACACTGCCGTATTTCAAGGCTTTTATTGTTGTATTGTTGTATTTCAAGGCTTTTATTGTTGTCCACCATTTTGCAAGCTTGCAGCAATTATCCTATTTACAACATGCAGAAGAGCAGGGTACTTGCAAGGACTTCTGTTTTGTTCTGACAACTCCACTCACTCATTTTCTTACTTATCAATTCTTTACAACAGCCCCGTAGCCAGAAATTTTGGGTTGATGGGGCATGGGAAAATTTTATGGGGCAGCAGGGGAGGAGGAGGAGGAGGGAGGGAGGGAGAAAGGCAGAGAAATACCTGGAGAAATCACCGCTTGGAGTTCAGGGAAGGTGTGCAGCCGCCACCCCCCCTTGCAGGAGGTGAGGGAGAAGGCAGCTGCCACCTGCATGCCTTCCCTGAACTCCAAGTGGCACTGCTAATCAGCTGGAGTGCCCTTTAAATCTTGGAGGAGGGGAGGGAGAGGGGCGGTTAAAAATGTAAAGGGCCCACCAGCTGATTGGGGAGCCACGTGCTCCCTCTGATCAGCTGGAGGGCCCTTTTAATGCCACAGGAGGGGAGGGAGGGAGGGGGTGGGGGAGAGAAGGGCAGCAGCTGTTGTGGGGTGTGCCCCAAAATGTTGAGGGGGCAGAGCCCCAAAATGCCCCACCCTAGCTATGGGTCTGCTTTACAGTGTGATTTCAAAACTGCATGCCATTTTCTAGATATCTAAAACTTGTAAAATGCAACAAGATTGAGGCTCGCAATGCAGATAGGAAGTAAGTACAGAGTGAGGTGTGAAATATTTATTGCTAGATTTCTACCCTATCTTTTGATCAAATAAAGCCTTCAAGTAGCTTCCAACAAGCATTAAATACCGAAACAGTAATTTAAAAAAAATGAAAACAACAGGTGTATTAGAGGAGCAAATATAAAAAGACTTCTGATATGTAACAAGATTTAAAAAATTGATCATCAGCAAAATAATAGTGTCAACGGCAACTATTTAGGAAATCTTGATTTAAATATAAATAAATCCCTTGTAACATACAAGAGTTCGAGACCCGGGTGCCACATAATGGAGTGAGCTCCCATCTCTAGTTCCAGCTCCTGCCAACCTAGCAGTTCAAAAGCAAGAAATTGCAAGTAGATAAATAGGTACCACTTCGGTGGGAAGGTCACAGCGTTCCGTGCGCCTTGGTGTTTAGTCATGCCAGCCACATGACCACGGAAACGTCTTCAGACAGCGCTGGCTCTTCGGCTTTGAAACGGAGATGAGCACCGCAACCCTAGAGTCGGACTCGACTGGCTTTCGAGCAAGGGAACCTTTACCTTTACCTTTAATATACAGGGAAGGTCTCAGGGCACATGATGTGATTCTATTGCTGAAGAAAACATTGGCCTGTAAGCTGCCTACCTGGGAGCCATATATATAAGATAGTCAGAAAAAAAGCCAGGTATTGGTTGTGATAAACAATAGACACAAGTTATAATCCCAAAGTAGTGCAGATAGAGTCTGGCCTATAAAGTGATAGCCACACATTTAAGGAGGTAACATGGCCAGCTTGGGGGATGTTCCCATTCATGTCTTTGTTCCTAGTCAAACACAAACGTCCCTGGTGGCTCAAGAGAACTGTCCCCTTCACCTGTGATTCCCCCCCACACACACACATACAATCCACCAGCCCATGAGACAAGAAATCCTTCAACGGCTGTTTTAGCCAGGCTGCCAATTTCTTTTCTGTGCAGCTGTCCCGTCCCATCAAACTTAGTTATTGGAGCCCCACCCCACCATTCTTAAATCCCTTTACCGAGAGAAGCACATAAGCATCCCCTTCATAGAAGTTCCCATATGCTTTGGGTGGTACAGGCACCATCTCCATGTTCTGGAAAGGAAGGTGGGGAAAAATTAGTGTTGGGAAAACTGGCAAAATAGTGAAATATTCAGAGATTGCAATGGATCTTGGCTTCACTGGAGAGGAGGCATTTTCTTCTATGTAAAAATCTTTATTTCTAAGGGAAGGGGTCACAGGAAATCTACAAAACAACAAAGACACCTAAGGCTACATCTTTACACTTTGACCACACGGTCTACAACAACAGAGATTCTACTTCTTCTTGACCCCTAGAAGGAAATCACCTGAATACATTAACCAATGCTTGTGAGTAAACAGATTTCAGTTTTGCGGGCTTTGTTTCCATTAGCTCTGTGCCAAGTTTCCTTCCAGGTCAGTCTAAACAATAGCCCACAAGGTAAGCACATTAACCCTATAATGACTGAATTTTACACCTTGCAACACACATATTTCCAACTATTAGTACACTACATGCAGAAGATCACAGGGTGTCTGTTGTGGGGAGGGGAAGGGAAAGGACTTTGTAAGCCACTCTGAGACTCCAAGTGAAGGGCGGGGTATAAATCCAATCTCCTCCTCCTCCTCCTCCCCCCTCCTCACTTATATAAAGAGCCTGCCACATCTCTTTTCATCTTTTAAAATGTGTCTTCTCTTCCTTCCCATACTAGTCTTGAAAAGTTCCGTGCATTCAGAACCTTTTTGCAGCTACATATAACCTGAATATTGCTGAGTCCTTGACAGCAACGGTACAAGCTCAGGGAAAATCTGCTCTTGAACTACCATACCACCTTCTAGGGCCAGAGCAAGTTTCTCGGAGAGAGCAATGCTTTCACTTCCAATTCTTAGGCAATGAGTCATCATTAACATCTTGTCAATGGGCAATTCCAAAACCCCACAAGCATTCACCTCTTCTGTACTCTAAGAGGTGGAGAATGTCAGCACCTCAGAGGGCTCACTCTGGACCAGACATCACCCATCTAACTCCCAACACCCCAGCTGCTCCCCCTTAATTCTATACCCAGGTCAGCTTCCTTTCACAACAGATACATCCAAACCCAGTTTCTCATGAATCCATCTTAGCATCCCTTCTGTCTAAGCTGAATCTTGTCCCTACAATTTCTAGGGACGTCATCTGCCCACCTGTAGCACCTTCCTTTCCTTTGAGTAGCAGAAGACTGCACTAACCGTCAATTCAGCAGTATGAGAACGGGAGATTAATATAATGGGTTTGATCGAAAGGCTTCCTTCCTCTAAGTGAGGAATCTTCCTCTGGTGGTGGAATAGTCCTCATTCAGCAGAAGGGAACTCTTGGATTTAACCCTATGACTACATTATTTAGTTGGCTGGCCAGAATTGTTCTTAATACAGGTCCTCTTCCGTCCTTCTCCACCAAAAACAGGAGATCCCAAGGGGAAGTGAATGAAGGAACCATAGACAGAGACACATTGTGGTTTCTTCCACCGTGAGCATTAGGGACAGACAGACAGACACAGACACATACACACACGCACCCACCTCAATTCTCCATATCTGGAGTCCAGGCGTGGTTTTGTTCAGTGTCTTCGTGACTTTAGCATTGAGTTCTGGCATAGTGATCAGCCCTTTATGAAAGGATCTGGCACTAGGGATGGAAAAGGCCATAACAGCATTATTACAAGCAATACATACCAGCCAGCAGTTGAAAAATCTTGGAATAAGAGAGCTCTAGGTTACTCCCCCAGTCTATAGAAAGCTTACTCCCTGAAACTCCTATTGGTCTCTAAGGTGCTACTGGACTCAAATCTAACTGTTCCCCCAGCCTTGCAATCCTCGCTAAGAAAATGAGGTTATCTTATTATTTGCCTTCATTCCAATAATATTCTTAAATATGTGCAAGAGGGGGAAAGGTTGATGGTTTCTACTGCTATGGTTAAGCTCTGCTAAATCCTGTCTGCTTTCCGTAACAGAAGACTGTGTAAAGTCTTCTTGACATTAAGAAGATGAAAAGACAATTGGTGCAAAGGAAAGTCTCTTTAATGATTGCATAACCCCTACATGTTTCATATTCAGCTTTGTCAGGGGGAATCTTTCAGATTTTTAAGGTTCCATTCCCAATATACACTATAGCTAAGTGTATATAGGGAACAGAACTTTCAGAATCTGAAAAATTCCCCCTGACGAAGCTGCACACAAAACGCATAGGGGTTATACAATCATTAAAGATTCTTTCCTTTGTACCAATTGTCTTTTCATCTTCGTTTTGTCTTGGTGTGGGCCCCCTGCTCTTCATCTTCTTAACATAATTATTTATTTATTTATTTATTTTATACCCCGCCCTCCTCACAAGTGGGCTCAGGGCGGCTTACATAATTGGTCTATAAATGACCATTAATTCACATAAAAACAGTTTAAAATTTCAAATACAGTAAAACATAAACTCGTAAAGTGTTAGTGCTGACACACTGGGTACATAAGATGGCATACTGGAAATACCATACAGCCAAACAGTTTGCTACTCAATGATCTTCCTGAGCACAGTGGTAGAGGCCAGACGTTAAAACTACAGGCCGACTCGTTGGTAGTAGTGGGGGCGGCTCCTAGTTGAAAGCCTGGTGGAAGAGCTCCGTCTTGCAGGCCCTGCGGAACTGCACAAGATCCCGCAGGGCCCTGATCTCCCCTGGGAGCTCATTCCACAAGTACGGAGCTGCCACTGAGAAAGCCCTGGCCCTAGTGGTGGCGAGCCTGGCATCCTTGGGGCCCAGAAGGGTCAGTCGGTTCTGGGACCCCGACCTCCGTGCTCTCTGGGGTATATATGGGGAAAGGCGGTCCCTCGGGTATGTCAGACCAGCAGCCAGCATCCTGTTTATAATATCAACTATTATTATTATTATTATTTGTCAATCATATATTTGGCTGGTAGATGGCATTCTACAGTTTGAGATCTAGCCAAGTTCTTGGGAATTGCAGGGTATCTTTGCAGGAGTCTTGATTTTCCAAGCAACACTGTGTTCTGGAGCTGAGCTGGTGTTATTTGCTCAATGCCGAGAATGTCCAGGTGTTTCTTGAGACTTCTAGGCACTGCTCCGAGGGCTCCAATGACAACTGTTTCACGCCCAACTGGTCAACTTCTTCTCCCAGAGGTGCTCTAACTCTGTTCGTAGGTCTTGATATTTTGTGATCTTATACTTTGAAGCACATCCGGAGAAACAAATGGCCTTAATTTTTCTAGATGCTGAAAAGGCATTTGACAATGTCAGCTGGAGCTTTATGTTGGAACAGCTATCAACTTCAGAATGTGGCAGAGAATTTTTTACAATGACACAAGCAATATATACTAAACAATGGGAGAGAATTCTTATTAATGGAGACTTATCACAATATATTGAAATACAAAAAGGAACCAGAAAGGGTTCCTCATCATTACTATTTATATTTACACTTGAAATATTGAATAATATGATTAGAGAGGACTGAAGCATTAGAGGAGTTAAAACAAGAGGAGAAGAATATAAATTACAAGCATTTGCAGACGATTTGGTATTCATCTTAGAGAATCCATCGAGTTCAATTACAAAGCTATTAACCGTATTGTTAAATTATGGCAGAGTGGCAGGATTGAAGATCAATTTAAACAAGACAAAAATGTTAACAAAAAATATGACTAAGTGAAACAACTGCAAGAGGAATCAGGATTTGAATCACCATAAAAAAGTGAAATATTTGGGAATAAAAATAACAAACAGATGCAGCTTCTTGATGAAAGACAATTATACAGAATTTATGATAGAAATTAAAAAGGACCTAGAAAAGTTGAAAAACCTACAAATATCCTTGATGGGCAGAATAGCTGCAATAAAGATGAATATTCATCCTAGGCTGATATTTTTATTTCAAACAATACCAATACTCCAAAATCAACAATACTTCAAATAATTGGAGAGAGTCTCATGACAGTTTATATGGCAAAATAAAAAACTAAGACTAAAGATGAAAAATTTGCAAGACGTCAAAGAAAGAGCTGCAATTGCTTTACCAGACTGGCTTTTTTATATTATAGAGTGTCAGCACTAGTTTTGATAAAAGAATGGATATTATTAGAAAATAATAGACTTTTAACTTTAGAGGGGCATGACTTATTATTGGGTTGGCATGCTTATATGTGGTATGGAAAATCAGATTCACATTAACATATGATTAGAAAATCCTTATTGAAGGTATGGGAAAATGTTTAAAAAATCATTTTATACCAAGACACCTAAATGGGTTTCATCACTTGAAGCTTTTACATATTGGAGTGCCTTCGACAGCTGCAGGGTAGGTGTTTAGCCCATCTGAGGTCCAGCATTGGGCTATGGGAGACCCCAGGCTTATTGGGTTGTAAATGGTGATGGTTAATGGTTTCTTTCCAGGATGTGGCACAAGGATGGAGGTCACCACCCAGCCAGCCATTGGAGACTGGGCTTCTGTTGAATGGCTGGAGGACTGCGTTGCAGCCAGATGTCACCCCTCCTTTATGATTGTCGGTTGGCAGGAGCACCTCTCCAGGCTGTGAAAGTGCATTTAGGCAACAACGATCTGGGCACTAGGTTGGCAGTCTACACCCCGGGATCAAGTCCTTGTTGCCACATCTTTCCAGGCACAATGGGGTTACTGGGTCAGACATTTTCTTAGCTGATCTGCAGGGCGGTCTGTGTGGCTGGTTGGTTCATGGATGGTGGGGGGGGGAGTTAAGCCAAGGCTAACCCCCTCTGTGGTGGGAAAAGCACAGGTTGAGGGGATTTTGAGTTGGCAAGCACCCCAAGATATCAGTGATGGCCGGGGGGGCGGGGTGTCCTCAAATTGGGTACCTATGGCCTTTGCCGTCTGGGTGACTCAGTTGGGGGCCTCTTCAGGGTTGGGGGAGCATATGATGAGCCTTAAGGCTGTGCAGTCATAGGTGGGAATGTGCCCTCCATCCCCTCTGCCCACTGGCATGTGGGACGTGATGAGTAAGGTCTGGAAGGATCCTGGACCTGGCTCTGAGCCGGGGTGGGTTTGTTCTCCCAGGCAGGCAGCCCCAGTGTGCTCCCTCCCTCCCTCCCTCCCTCCCTCTACCAACAGGGTTATGGAACCATGGGGTGCGAATCCTGGCTGTCTGGTGGGGACAGTGGGCTGGGGCGAGCCGACTTTCGAGCAAGGGAAACCTTTTCTGCAGGCAGCTGCAGCCCGGGATCCCTTGCCATGCTGGCTGGCCTCTGCTTCCATCCCGAGGGTGAGGAGAAGCCGGGGGGATGGGGCGGGGGGAGTGAGAGGCAGGCGGTGGCGACAAAGTTTCTGCTCAGCTTTTAACCCCTCCCGTGCCTCCCCCCGCGCTCCGGGAAGCCTCTGTCCCCCTCCGGCCCTGCCTCTCCGTGCCTCGGCCAAGTTGCATGGCCCGTGGGCGCTCCTTCTGTGCATGCTCAGAGGCTGGCCTGGGGGCGGGGCCTGGCAGAAGAGGCAGAGGCTCCTCTTCTGCACAGCGGTGGCAGCCAAGGTGAACGCGGCCAGGCTTCAGGAGGTTCAGCAAGAAAGGGAAGATATAGAGCTCCTACATACATTGCATCAAGGCAAAACAAGAAAACAACTAAAAGGAGCCAATTGAAGAGAGAGAAGATAAAAGGAAAAGGAATGATGCCTAAAGAGAAGAAAAAGTGGAAAAGGGAAAGACAATATCAAAGTGTGTCGAAGGTTAAAAGGGCCAGGATGGTATGGAAACAGATGTTTTAAAAAAATATTGAGGAGAGATTGGAAGCGAATTATCATCTGTGCAAAGGGAAAGAACACATAGACATGTTACTGCGGAAAGAAAAACTACTGACTTACAGAAGGCAAATCAAACTATATGAATTTAATATATGACTTTTATATTCTGTCAATAAGTGCATAAAATGGATTGTTTAGACCAGAGTAAACTGATATCAGGCTTCAGAATTTAGGGTTAAGAATTTGTGTGTGGGGGGGGAATTAAAGGTGGTGGCATGAAATAATTGGTGAAAATTAAAAATGTCCACTAAAATAATCTTATCTGCTTTATATATGCTCTTAGAGGTCTTTCTTTCTTTCTTTCTTTCTTTCTTTCTTTCTTTCTTTCTTTTATTTTTCTTTGGTGAAACTGTGTAACTTGGAATGAATTGATTGATATGTTGTTAATTACAGAAAATAATAGTAAGAATGAGGGAAGATAAAGGATAAGGTAGGGTTAAGAAAGAGATAGCAAGTTAGGAGACAGTAAAAGGGAAGTATTCTAAAGTGGGAGGGATAATTAAGTGTACGACTGGTTTATATATGCTGAAGAGGAGAGTATGTAAGTATCAGAGGTCATTTTGGGGGGGATCGCGGGGGATCACAGTTCCCCCGGGTGAGGTACGGGGAGCGGGGCACATGATGAAGCCCCGCCCCTGCTTCCGGCCGCCCCGCTTCCGGCCCTCATTCAGCCAGGAGGAGGCAGGAGAAGAGGGAGAGTAAGTTGCTTCCTCCCTGCCTCTCCCCATCCCTGCCTGCCTGGGGCCTGGGAGGGCCTTTGCGGGGCTTCCTTGCAGGCGGCCGGGACCGTTGGGGGCGGGGTGTGTGGCCTTATGACACACTTCCGGTGATGCCAGGGGGTGTGGCCTTATGACACACTTC